ACTTGTTCCTAATAGCTTCTTGTTACTATTAGTAAGGCACTTGTTACCACTAGTAAGGCACTTGTTTCTAATAGCTTCTTGTTACTAGTAGCGATGCCCTTTGCTCCTAGTAGCCTTCTTGTTGCTAGTAAGGCCAGGAGCCTCTAGTAGAGTCCGAACGCTCCGTGCGTCGCGATACCCAACATGTGACGTTCGGTTCGCGTCCTCTTGTTCCGTTCGTAGTAAGGCCAGGAGCGCCCTGTTCGTAGGGTCCGATCGCTCCGTTCGTAGGGCTACACAGGTAGTCCAAGCTTTTGGGCTGGCAGGGTGTGCTGTTTACAACATATTCTTAAGGGATGATGATGCCAAGGTCTACTGTAAAACTCCCAGCCGGCCAATGAACATCATGTGCAGAACCCTTTGTGCAGGCAGGTATGTCTTTTCTCCTTTACCGCCTCCGGCTGCATCATGTTGAGATACATCAACAACTCCAAATGTCTTGAAGCTACACAGCTGCAGGTTTGGACAGTCAGACACCACCATATTCGACGGAAGCAGAGCAGTTTTCTTCCACGGAGAATGTTTTTCGATGTTTCCAGTTTGGGCCCCGATACTCCATGGTACACGCCGGTTTTTTACTCCTTTGCTGTCATGACCCGATACTCCAAAGTGTGCCACGTGTGATTTGACTGTGGCGAGCCAAGAGAAGTGTTGATGGTCAGATTGCCTTTGTCCAAGCGACAGATCATGGAAAGCCAGCGAGCAAGACACATCATCGATAGTTGTAAGCTCCAAAAGTAACGATGTGCCTGTGCAGCAGTCAGACTCATGCTGCTCCGCAGTGCAGCAAATACTTCGTTCAACTAAAGGTTTCACCCTGCGTCGTTGCGCGACATCATGGCTGTAAAGATGGTGTTGTGTGGTGGGTGGCATGGCTGTCGTTTGCGGTGCGAACTGTACTTTCCCACACGAGTGCTGTTGGTTGTGCATGTCGTTGGCGTGCGGAGTCACGATGCATTTTAGCATGTTGAAAATGAGAGCCTCTAAACAGTGGCAGCTCAGACAAGTATCTCCAGCGCTTGGCTAGCACATCTCCGGGTGGAGTTTGGTGCTACCTTTCGAACTTGCAACCATCAACTCATAGACCATCATAGACCCCTGTGGCATATGCTGAACACCCAAATATTTTTTGCTGTTCTCCCTCATCGAAACTCAGGAGCTGGTGGCAGAAATGAAGTTTCAGTCCGACCTCGAGGTGGGAACATGCAACTGCACTGGAAAAAGAAACATCGATATGACGAGAATCCATGAACGACCTGCAGAATTCATCACAGTTTCATTGCAGATATTATGAACTTGTGCCCTGAAATCACCCCAGTGCTTTCAACAGCCGTGCTCAAGCTTTCAATTTGCCCGATCCATGTGCGCCTTGCGTCGGGACGTCGGGCGCAATGAAAGCCACCCTATTAATGATGACGGCCTCCAGGGCTTCCTTGAGCGAGCGCAACATCTCAGTGCCAGCACCTGAAGATCTACACCCTTTGACCTTGGATCTTTGGACCGCCAGTTTCTTGCTGCCCCTCATTCTGAAATCCAAGGTACGCACCTCAAGACTACCAGTTTTCATTCATATTTTGGTAGTGCTGATGACATCGGACCAAGTTGTTTGGGGATAAACACGAGTTTTGTTGAAATGCTCATGGGATGAAGCTGAAGCTCATGATGCTCATGTGCATCACATTGACCAAGGCGGGTAAGTTCAGCACTTGTGACTGGATCCTCTCGTGTATCCTGATCCATTTGCCCTTGCTGGGTCTCTTGCTGGTGGAAGCCACGTTCATCTATTACGTTTTCAACTTCCTCGGTGAGAAAAGGATTGTTCAGGACGAGGACACCGTCTGGCTCACGAATGTATGTGTGTCTTGCTCATGGATCTCATGGTTTAGTAGATGTGAAAAAACACATGCATTGAAGCATCACTGGACGGTTCACCGACCTTTTGTTTTGCATCCTGGAAATCCCAGGAAGTATGAACGGAAATGACCGGTGTGTTGTTGTCAACTAAAGCAGCGATATCTTCAGACGCGCGTTTTCACCAAGGTCTGCATTATGGCTGCAAGCATGATGAACCAGGAGCTTCTTCCATCGGTTCACATGATGCTTTGGCTTTGGGGAGCCAAGCGGAGTGATCAGCGATTGCAGGTGAAAGAAGAGGAGGGTGCAGAGCCGGAAAAGCCAGGTGAGCCACGGTTTTCACCTAGGGCAGGTTTCAACTTGTCAGCAAGACGCTAAACCCTCACAGCAACAAATAATCAGTCATTACAAATAAATAATCAGTCAACTCAGCTTGCACCTGTATGCTTTTCACCCTGCTTAGGTGAATTGACCAATCGACGCAGAGTCGTTTGGTTTTTGCTGCTTGTATTGCGCAATGCCATGGCTATTATATTCTTCGTTTGTGCCGTTAGACACATCATGTCCCAGGATAAAGCTTCAGACCAAATCTTGAACACAACTGCCATGGTCTTTGTATTGGAGATTGACGAGGTCTTCATGAACCTCCTTTTCTCGCCGGAGGTTTTGCATCTGCTGAGCACAGTACCTGCAGTATCAGGTGAGTTGCAAACAAACCATGTGGCTTCAATGCACAAAAACACCGCGGCTTTCATGAAATTGCAGTTTCTCCAGAGTTTTGTCCGCGTCATGGGCTTTCTTTGGGCAACCATTCCGATCACGAAGGGAATGCCAGACGACGCCGAGTTGTCGGAGGCTTATGCGTGCACTGTGCTTCTGATGCTCTTTGCTTCGCCATACATACTGACCTTTGTTCTTCTTGTCCTCTACAAGGGCTCAGGCTTGTGTGTGCACATGTATGGGACCCAGAAGGATTTACCCGCGAGTGGACAGCAGGTTGAGGACACCGGTGGGTCACCGAAGTCTGAAAAAGCCACAAAAGGGGCCCAGGCCAGTGCTTCCAGTGTTTCAAGTGCTCCCTTGGCCACCGGTGATGGGCACCCTTCACAATCGACATCCCGATGGAGTGACGAAATGGATATCTGAGTCGACGGAGGCAAGTTGGAGCTTGGGTCTGGCTGAGACGAGTCATGGCCTCGTTATTTTAAATTTAGTTTGCTCCCAGCGGAAACTCTTCCATCGTTGGGAATGTTTTGGGTTTGTAGCACAGGGATCGGTTTTGTGCTTAGACAAGATGACTGCAGGGCCGAAGTGCACTGTGATCAAAGCGTTCCGTCCACATCTTGGGATGAGCATGGAGTTGGCGAACGGAGCAATACAGAAATCGTGTGTTCATCCGCCCGTCTAGCACGAACCAGTGGCTCGGTACTTGGCTGAGGTGGCAGGTGGCAGCAGACGCCATCAACGAACGGGCAAAGCTAGGCCCTCATGCTCAATTTGTCAGAAGGGACAATCCTGAGCATGTTGGTGTGGTTTCAAGTGAGGTGTACACATGGCGTTTGGAGCATGACCGAGTCTTGATACATGAAGCTACACAGTTGTCGATGTGTGATTGTCGCTATCCGAAGTGTGGTGAACCGCTGCAGGTTTGGACAGTCGGACACCACCATATTCGACGGAAGCAGAGCGGTTTTCTTCCACGGACCATGGTACACGGCGGTTTTTACTCCGCTGTCATGACCCGATAGTCCAAAGTGTGCCAGCGACAGATCATGGAAAGCCAGCGAGCAAGACACATCATCGATAGTTGTAAGCTCCAAAAGTAACGATGTACCTGTGCAGCAGTCAGACTCATGCTGCTCCGCAGTGCAGCAAATACTTCGTTCAACTAAAGGTTTCACCCTGCGTCGTTGCGCGACATCATGGCTGTAAAGATGGTGTTGTGTGGTGGGTGGCATGGCTGAAGAGTGCTGTTGGTTGTGCATGTCGTTGGCATGCGGAGTCACGATGGTGTGTCAGCCACAGTTAACTGGTCAACTCTGAGTGTTACTACTTTCCTGAATCCTCAGACGTTGGTCAAGTGTTAACTCCTGAGGCTCCAAATGTGTTCCTTCCAAATTTGGGCAACTTGCGCTGGCGTCAGGTGGTATCTCCAATGACCTTGGCTGATGCGACAGAAGTGTCGTCAGGCCTCGCAGCCGGCCCGCAAATGCCCCAAAACGATGAGTCGAAATTTCAAGACAGATTGAAGTGCGACATCTGAAGTGGCATTTCTATGCAAAGGCCGTTCGTTCTCTCTTGTAATTCGTCGACAGAGATCGAAGGAAGAGGAGCGACGAGAGAGTCGGTCGGAACATCGGTGCAGAGTGTGCAGGCAGGCATCGGTGTGCATGCATTGTTGGATTCATGCAAATGAAATACATGTTGGGATAATATTTTCGGACTTTCAAAAGAACAGCCTGAAACTCTTCAAGGTTTGCACTGTTGCGTCGATGTCAAACGGCTACTTAATAGTTGTTGGGAGATCGCTGAGGCCGAGAACTTTGACCTGAGGAGTTCCTTTTCTGCCCTTTGAGCGCGGTCCGAAGACCTGGAGGACAAGCGGACGGAGGCGGATGATGAGGAAGTCACAGTCACAGCTTTGAATCAAGGAGTGTCAGACTTCGTCACACGTTTTCATGATACTTCATGTGGCCTATGGTCAGGTTATAACCTATGGTAGCATAGCGGACCTCAAAAAGGGGTGGTAAATGGATGTCCATGAACGCAAATATGGTACCATTGGTTTTAACCCATGGCCATGTGTGTTTCTAGGTTTTATGTTGATTTCAACCTTTTCCACACAAAAGCATCCAAAATTTTGCATCTTCAGATGCACTTGCTGGGTTCGCTGCAACGACTCCATGACACGAACGAGTGCTGGCCTTGGCATGAAGAGTGAAGGATATGCTGTTTCATTTTAAAATTCATCTAATTCAATGCTAACCGATGTGTGTTTATCAACAGCTGAGCAACGGCGCATGCAGATAATCCAAGTAATGGCCGCGATTTTTCATTGAAGAGTTTGTGAGCGGCAGAAAATCCTTGATACTGAAGGGGATGGCGCCCATGCAGTTGCTCGATTTGCTCGTTGCCAGGTGCCCTTTCCGTGGCCGAAAACCCGCGCCTCGCCATGGCGTCATTGACCATGGCGGCGCTGGTGGCCATGGCAGTGCTGCTTCCTGGCAAGCAGATGCTAGCCTTGAGACGCGCACTGGCACACGGAGTGAGCGGGAGTTTCTCAGCCCAGCGCCCACATCTCGTGGACTCAATGGGCGACCTTAGCACTATCGTCGTGGACGAACTGGTCAAGCAGCTAGATCTTCTCAAGGTCCAAGCCCAGGCATTGATCGATCCTGGGCATATTTCAACATACGTTTTAACGTGTTTTAACCTTTAGTTGAGTCTAACCCAAATAGAGAGATTAATGACCCCGGATTAATCAGCCTGGCTGACTAGGGGTGCCTCCCAACTAACTAGTCAAAAAACCTATTGACAATGGAGTTTCTTAGTCCGGGGGCCTACATTAAATTGTAATTGTTACCAGGGTTCGATCAGTACAGGATTCAATCAAAGCGGCCCGCCAGCGTAGTCCCGGGACCTCCACGTCCTTCGGCTTCAGCTTTTTGGAGACCACATCTGGATCCCGAAGGTGAAGCCGGCCCCCGGGTGGCTCTCGCAGGATTCCGTTGCCAAAAGGCATCGCTTCTTGGACATTTGACTCGGATGGCAACTTTCTCGAGGAGCTCGTGGCTGTTTCAAATAAGAAGGACTTTTGGAAAGTGAATCAGCTGAAGCTTCGTGACTTCTCTACAAAGAATGGTTATACCTTACGTCCGTTGAACAGCGTGTTCAAGTTTGATATTTCAGTTAGAGAAGGAGGAAGCACCCCGCAGAAACGGGTATTCTCTTCGTCCACTGCTCGCTTTAAGATGTGTGTAGACAATGCCCTCAAGTGTATCCTCGTGATGTCTTGTGGTCGGCCACAAAGGGTCATTCTTCAGGTAGATGGAGGCTAGTGGTGGCGTGTAAACCGGTCAAACCATCCGTAGCTCGCGTGTAAGTAAACATACTTATGCATATTTACAGTTCGAGCAGGGTATTTTCGTGCGTTTTGCGAAGTTGATGCAATCAGTGTGGCGATGCGGGCTGAGAACGTGTTATATATGTATACACATATATAAACGTGTGACGTGCGATTCTTAAGAAGACCTCAGTTCTGAGGACGCGACCTTTCCGCAGAATTGGAGGATAGTTTTTGCACTATAAAGACCATAGACTTGGTGGCTATGTGCTACCTTTTGAGCTTCTTTTGCTTTTAAGTTTTGCAGCAGCAATACTAAATACTTTTTCCAGCTCCCACGCTGTGATCTTGCTTTTTGTGTGCTGCCGATAAGGGAGAATGACAGCATGTCCATTTGATGCAGCTGCTCGTCCATCAGGCTGTTGTTTTCCGCGTAAAGGTTTCTCATCTTAGCTCACACTATTCAGGTCGACATGACACTCTTTAGACTTGTGTGTGATGACTCTGAACCGGGGACTTTGGACAGCTCGTTTTGCCCCGCTTTCGCCGGGCAGGATCGCCACCAATCAAGATGGCCTGCCAGATCCAGCCTGGACAGGAGGGGCCTTGTGGCCCACGTCTCCAAAGCGCAATGGACTTTTCCAATCGCCGTCTTCGAATGGGCCGGGCTCCTATAATCCCTTCGCGGTCTCGCAGCAGTCCATGAAGATCGAGGGGCAGCAGTTCCTTCCTATCTTCTCAGATGCAGAAATCAACACTCAAGATGGCTCTGAAGAGGACTTGCAGCTACCAGCCGCCACTTGGGATGTCAAGTTCTCTGACCACTACGCCAGCATGACGCTCACCGACACCAACCCTTCGTCCTGCTACTCAGGCGCGACGCTCCACCGCAATCTTGAAGACATCCTTGCCGCTGACCTGACGAGCCCCAAGGGGGTTGATCTGACGGGTATCTACGTTGAAAGCAGGGCCCAACATCTGGCCACTAAAGAGTGGTGCCCCGTCTACGTTCCAATGACATAGTAGGAGCCCAACCGAAGATGAACCGAAGATCACCCGATTTTTGAGTGGCATCAGCGCCCGCTTGGGTGCGCTGGTCCGTTGAAGCGTCAAAAAGGAAGCCACGCGGCCAGTGCGAGGGATCCACCAGCGTTCCCCAAAGCAACAGCGTCCAATGGCCAAGCATCCGCCGGTTTGAACCACTAGTATAGGTGGCTTGCGACTAGACTAGGTCTAGGTCTAGACGAACGGCATGGAAGCCAAGGTAGGACTGGGTAGCGTCGACTCTCATTGCTAAGGTGAAGGCCACGCACCTACGTGAACAGGTGGGAGTGGGTGCAGCATGCAGACCTCGTGGACGGATGGTACTTGGGACATCTCTTGCAGTTCCCCCCTGTTGGGTCTCATTTGACGTTGTGGGTTCGCCAGACTGGCATGAGCCATGGGCTGAGTCGGCTGGCAGTCCGGGATGATGGATTGGTTGATGTCCCTGTTTGGAGGCACAGATGATGCCAACCAGTTCTGCAAGAGCTACTGACTGTATATAGTAAAACTATTCCGGGGAAAAAGAAGCTTGCACACTTCCAGAACCTTTGACAGCGTTTGGCTCTGGCCGAGAGCACATTTTCCCTCGCCATGCACTTGATTGAACAGCAAGCTGCTGCTGCAGTGCAGAGAGGACTTTTCATTTCTGCAAGTGCTCGTGGTGTGTGCCTGAGTTTATCCTGTCTTGCTCGGTTGTGGCCATCTTACCATTCTTCAGCAAATGTGTCAAAGGTCGACTATTTCATTAGCCACTCCTGGTCATGTCCAGGGTGGAAGAAGATGCTGGGAATGTGCTACTATTTCAATTTCAATTTGGCAACTATGCTTTCCATCTTCACATGCATGGTAGGAGCCTCGATTTTGGTTTTGGTAGCTGGAAGCTTTAGTGGTGTGGCAAGTGAGTATCAAGATTGGCTTGCTGTCACTTTGCTGTACTCGCCAATACTAGTGTTCTTCCTGACATTCTTCTTGGGACATTTGCCAAGATGCAAGACATTCTGGTTTGATGGTGCCTGTGTCAACCAAACCGACATGCTGGAGAAAGCAGCTATACTCCAAGCAATTCCGGCCTTTGTCGCAAATTCCACCGAGATGCTCGTTCTGTGGGATGACGAGTATTTTCAGAGATTATGGTGCATCTTCGATGCTCGGCCATAGAGTAGTGACCTTTTGCTATGAGTGAGAGCATACCCTGCATCCAACACACTTCCAACGACCAGAGGCGTCCTGAAGCATTGCTTTGGGGTCTTTGGGCAGATTTCTCTTGATTCGCTCTTCTTGCTGTTGCAGACTCTTGCTCTTCTTAACCCTGAGATGTTTTGGAGGTCGTAAGACTCCATCCCTTTTTTAGACCGCTACGTACAAGGAGTTGCTTTTGCTTCGAGAGCAGATTGGACCAAACTGGTATCAACTCCAATGGGAAGGCCATCGCTACTAGGGTGGAGGCCATCGCTACTCTGTTGGAGGCCATTACTACTAGGGTGGAGGCCATTACTGCTAGGTTGGAGGCCATCGCTACTAGTAGCAAGAAAAGTAAAGAAAAGAATCAATGAGCATTTTAGGGGGTTCAGCTCCGTCTTCGAATGGATCCCACAAGAAAGCCCGCGCGGGGTGTGTCCGAAGCACACGCTCTTCTTTATTCCATTTCGTTGTCTCTAGAGCCTTTTGTTGTGCACTTTCATCATCTTCATCAACCGCTTTGGGTTCCCCTGTATTTCGACGCTCATTTCTGCTGCAGGCAACTCCTTGTCTTTTTCATTGTCCTTCCCTTTTTGATTCCTTTGGCACTTACTTTGCGAAGTCATCCAAATCTCGTTGCTGCACCTGAAGCCACCATTTCATCCATCGTTTTCCTGCTCATGCTCAGCTGTCTCTACACCCACAAGGGGCCAGAAAGAAATCAAGAACCGTTCCGAAAGCATGTGTTGTGGTGCCATCATTCAAGACTAGCAGCCTAGCAAGCCCGCTTCTTCTATCATGGCTTCTATTCTTGCATCAGTTGATGTTTGCTTGCAATGCAAGCAGGTGGAGTTTGCATGGTTTTAGATGAACCTTTGACTTCTGCTCCTGTAGCACCGATTAAAGCAGAGGGTATCATGACTCTTCCAAAAGCTCTTGGCCCCGCCCACACCTGACTTCGCTGGATTTCTGTTCATGGATATCATTGTATTCGTTCAACCTGATTGTTGATCATGTTTAGGAACGTTGCTGCAGACATGAACGACTCTTTTCCTGCTGACATGCAAACATGAAAGCTGTGATATCCCAGCAGTCCTTGCTGCAGTGGTTTGATATCCAATGATCCGATTTCCCGTGCGCACAGGGTTGAAATCAATGCATCGTGCGGCCAGAAAACGCTTCCAACAACCAGGCAATTCTTTCCTGGAGTAGTTGTCTTGCTTTTTTTTTAAAGGACATATTGCTGATGCTCCTGCTTTCACCTGATTGGACTCTACTGTGTGACACACACACACACACTCAGTCCCACTGACTGAGGAGCTCGCAGTCTTTTGCAAGACTTCGAGGTCGCAGTACTTTGCGCTGCATTTTGTGCCCAACTGGGCGCCGAGTTTCAGTTTGTCATGCTTCATGGTGATGGCTTTGGGCGTTTTCATCCTACCTGTGGTGCCTCGCAATGACTGGCCTTCCCCAGATTCGCTCTTCACGTCATGGCTGCTTGGAGGCAGTTGAATTCTAATTCAACTTAATTCTAGTTATACAACTTTAATTCAATTCTATGTATAATGATTTATTGTTTCTAAAAGCTTTTTGTTACTACTAGTAAGGCCAGGAGCCCCCACTGAAAAGAATATCCCACATGACTCGATGACATGTCTATTTGATGGAGTCCCGGCATGTCCGGTGGAACTATGTCCCGCCCAGATGCGGAGATCGGGCGATCTCCGTTTTGGCCCTTGAGGTTCTATGACGAACTTGCACCACTTCCCGTGTTGGTGATGGCTCCCATGCTTTTGGCTTGGTTTGGTTTCGAGAAGCTGGATGGCCACAAGCAGATGTTGGATCAGATGGCATCCTTTGACTTCAGAAATGCGCAGTGCACCTTAGAAACAGATCGGGTAGTTCTTCAGAGGCAAGTGCAAGACCTTTTTGATGAGGCCTTGGAACCTCCTTTGTCTATCTCGATTGATGCGGCAGGGGTTTCAGAGACAGTTTCTGACGCAGATTCAGCGGATCCCCTTCTATTGAAAAAAGTTCTGCAAGGCAGTCGCCACGTCACCAGCTATCCGACCGAAGAAGAAGTCATTGACCACTTTAATGCATATGTGAGGGGCCCATTGCGCGATAGGGTCGTGAGCTTGATGGGTCATGAGATGGACATCTCGTTGAAACTTTGCGCCGTCTCCAATCTGCCGGTGGTGCTGCTGGGATTCTTCCTGGTCTTCAGCTGTGACCGTCACTCAGATTGTTCTTCTGCCCTGGTTCAAGGCTACGCGTCGGTCTCGCACTACCTGGTCACGACGGCGTTGATCAACTGTGTCATTGTGCCGCTTCTCATGTCTTTTGCATTTCCTCTTGCATTGCGGGCCAACCACCTAGTGACCTTGCTGGTCAAAGGGAAGGTCTGGCGTTTTGTCTTCGGATTTGTTGTGAGCTCCTTGGTTTTTGCATTCGTGAACGTACTGCAAGCGGCCGGGGCTGCAGGGATGGTAGTCATTGCCTGTCAAGGTTCGACCCCGTGGGTCATTGGCTACTCTATCGCTGGCCTTCTCATGTTTTTCCTAGCGTGGGTTCTTTCCCGCAAGGAACTTTTCTGCGCCTAAGGCGCCTAAAACACGCGTGTTTTCCCGACAGCAAAACTGCGAGCATCTGGGAGGTGTAGATGAGATGCTGCAACGATATCCTCGTGTGTTGACCTTAAGTTCTGAGTTGGGTGCGCCATCAGGTGGTCTCCATTTCATATCATTTTGTTGTGCAGATTCTGATCCTTTTGCCGCGTATTCTTTTCTTTTTCCAGCTGAATAACTGGGGTCCTTCACACCACTTCCACCATGTGTCGATTCCATCTTTACTGCGCCGTCCGCGAACACCAGGCGAAGATGCTCTTGTGTGGGTGTTCGCAAGGCGTGCTTCTTCAAGGCGCTGCTTGAGGAAACCATGAGAGATGGGCGAAGGGGCTATCCTCCGCACGTCTCCACGTTCGTAGTTTGGACCATTTGCTGGAGACACTCCAGCAAGTTCGCAGGCAGTTTTCAGCCATCAACCCCCAAAGAAGTAGCAGCCAAACGCGCTGTCGACCCAAAAGAAGAAGTTATTCATCCTTGAGACTATGTCCTGTGGTGTTTGGGCTCAACAGATAGTGTAAGAACGCTTCGATTGAAGGTTCAATTGCCATGCGCTTAATTCACGAGCAAGCTGCCTTTGCTAGGCAAAAGGGACTTTTCAAGGCTGCAACTGCTTCGGATGTACTCTTCAGTCTCACCTGCCTCGTGGACACCATATCACAAGAGTTGCCTCGTGGCTTGTTAAAGAACGTTTCAAAGGTCGATTACTTCATCAGTCATTCCTGGGCATGTCCAAGATGGAAGAAAATGCTGGGAATGTGTTACCATCTCAATTTCAATTTGGCAACGATGCTTTCCATCTCTACATGTTTTGCAGGAGCGTTGATTTTGGTTCTGTTGGCTGGAAGCTTTAGTGGTGTGGCGCGTGAGTATCAAGATCGTCTTGCTGTCATTTTGCTCTACTCGCCAATACTAGTTTTCTTCCTGACATTCTTTTTGGGACATTTGCTAAGCTGCAAAACATTCTGGTTTGATGGTGCCTGTGTCAACAACACTGACATGTTTGAGAAAGCAGCTATACTCCAAGCAGTTCCGGCCTTCGTTGCGAACTCAAGCGAGATACTTGTTATGTGGGATGATGTGTATTTCCAGAGATTATGGTGCATTTTCGATGCTCGGCCACAGAGTAGTGACGTTTTGCTATGAGTGGACACTCCCAACGAACAGATGCGTCCTGAAGCATTGCTTTGGGGTCTTTGGGCAGATTTCTCTTGATTCGCTCTTCTTGCTGTTGCAGACTCTTGCTCTTCTTAACCCTGAGATGTTTGAGGGGCGTAAGATTCCAAAAGCCGGCCTAAAGCGCCTTAAAAAAGGCGCAGGCCAAATTTGGCGTGGTTGATCCAACGTCCAGGAGCTAGCAGTGTCTTGCAAGACCTCAAGATCCTCAAATGCCTTGCACTTCGTGCCGAACTGGGCTCCAGGGTGGAGCTTGTCCTGCATCATGATCATGGCCATGGGTGTTTGCTCATACCCCCTGACGCCCCAGATGGTTTGGCCCTCACCTGATGTACTCTTCACATCCTGGTGCCTTGTAGTTGGAGGATGGCAAGATTTGGTCTTGTTAAAGCGTGCAGATCTCGAGTTTCTTTTGCTTCCGACCGGAAGGTTTCTCTAGCTATATCAACAGGGAGAATTTTTGATATATTAATTCTTTTACACATCACTGATCCAATGCCAGGTTCAATTGTCAACTTGCGCCGGTCTTTGTCACGCCGATGGCAGCCATCTTCACCACCTGGTTTTGTTTCCAGAAGCTGGAGGGTCACAAGCAGATGTTGGATCAGATGGCGTCCTTTGACTTGAGAAATGCGCAGTGCACCTTAGAAACAGATCGGGTAGTTCTCCAGAGGCAAGTGCAAGACCTCTTCGATGAGGCCTTGGAACCTCCTTTGTCCATATCGCTTGATGTGGCAGAAGCTTCACAGACAGACGCTGACGTAGATTCAGCGGATCCGCTTCTTTTGAAACAAATTCTTCAAGGCGTTCGCCATATCACGAGCTATCCCACCGAAGAAGAAGTCATTGACCACTTCAATGCATATGTGAGGGGCCCGCTGCGTGATAGGGTCGTGAGCTTGATGGGTCGCGAGATCGACATCTCGTTGAAACTTTGCGCTGTATTCAATCTGCCAGTGGTGCTGCTGGGATTCTTGATTGTGTTCAGCTGTGATCGCCACTCAGATTGTTCTTCTGCCCTGGTTCAAGGCTACACGTCGGTCTCGCACTACATGCTCACGACGGCGTTGATCAACTGTGTCATTGTACCGCTTCTCATGGCTTTTACATTTCCTCTTGCATTGCGGGCCAACCACCTAGTGACCTTGCTGGTCAAAGGGAAGGTCTGGCGTTTTGTCTTCGGATTTGTTGTGAGCTCCTTGGTTTTTGCATTCGTGAACGTACTGCAAGCGGCCGGGGCTGCAGGGATGGTAGTCATTGCCTGTCAAGCTTCGACCTCGTGGGTCATTGGCTACTCTGGCGCTGGCCTTCTCATGTTTTTCCTAGCATGGGTTCTATCCCGCAAGGAACTTCAGCGCCCAAGTCAACGACCCCTCAGTGCTCTTTCGTGAGAACGTATCAATGAGATCTTTATCCTGTTTTGATGTGATTGTTGATTTTCAAGTCCATGCAAGCAGAAAGAGCCGGGGCCCATTCATACAATGATAGCATGTGATAACATGATTGGCAGATGATTAGCAGGCTCTGGGAAGTTCAGGAGTGAAAGCAACTTCTAGCTTGATGCGCTGAATTTGCAAGAGTCACTTTAGTTTCACCAAGTACAGCTCATTTGAAGTGGTGAACGTCGATGCTGCACTAGGTTGCGAGAAAGACCGAGCAGGAGTGGACGTGGCATATGGCATATTCATATCCATGTGAGATTGCTTGACGTCACACACACAGACACACACTCTGACACTTGTATTCAGTGACTCAGTTATCACGATGGGAAGGATGGCGGTGGAACAGCATGGCGAAAAGTCCGAGAAAATTGTAGGTGTTTGAACAAAGGTTGTTTCCCTTGACTGCGGTGACGAAGCGGCTCAAGCTGCAGCGCTGCTGGGGAGGAAATGGTTTAGGGGGGAAGGTATCATGAAAAACCATGGAAACAAACCGAGCAGATTAGACAGCGTGGTCAAAGGTTTCGGTTGCAGGTACGTCACGGTGATCAGCCGTGATATCCTAGTCAACTGAATGGAGCTTCGTTGGCGACAGCCATGCAGCGACTCTGTCGCCCCCTGCATGTGGCGGTGGAAAACCCTTTGTCCAGGGGTGGACACACACAGTTCGCCGGCTTCGGCGCTTTTTCAAAGAACGATGGCACAGACACGGTGCCGCTTGGCGGCGTGTGCGTGGAAAACCTGAATAGATACCTAAAAAGCCTTAGAAGCAAAAGGAAAGAAACACAGAAAGAGCAGCGCTAAGAGGGCAAGAGAGAAAGATATGTGGAGAAAAAATGAAAAATGAATACTTAGCCCTTGACTGGGGTAGGGAAACGAGCCTCAAGAACAACCTAAAAAGCCTGAGAGAAAGCCCAACAAACGACAAAAAAAGCAAGAAGGAAAGCGGGGGGCAGGGAGGGGGTGTATGTCCATGTGTGTGTACGTGTGTGTGTCTGACTACTACTTAGACGAAATGAATTAGGTGCACTAGTTAGGGAGCGGGACTTTAGTCTTAGACCGCCCGGGTAGGAAAGACTAGAACAGGAACAACACAGGGAAAAGCACCGAGACACAAGTGTGTCGAGTACCATTTCCCTATGTTGCCCTAAATAGGTAGGGAGTAGAACACAGCGGGGGGGGGGGG